GCGGCTACGGGAGCGGCTCGGGCTGCGGAGTCCCGGACCGCGCCTGGCGCGCCCCCCGCACCCTCGGCCTCCGGCGTTGAGGCGGGGGAGTAAGGAGATGCCGACCCAGAGAGACAGCAGTACCATGTCTCACCCAATCGCAGGCGGCGGCAGCGGGGACCATTCTCACCAGGTCCGGGTGAAAGCCTACTACCGCGGGTGAGTATCGTGGGGTAGGGGTGAGGGTGGGAGGGCGGGGGAAGGCCGGCTCCACTTGGCCTGGAGGAGGGGCCGGTGAGAGGCTGGAGATGTTGTGGGAGAGTTGATCAGGGCGGGCAACTCCGGGGACTCGGGATGGGGAACCGAGTGGTCGGGGGAGGAGCATTGAGCGCTGGATTGGGGCACCCCCAAGGTGCAGTGCTGGGCGTCGGGGAGTCGTGCAGCTGAGGGTCCAGAGTAGGGTCCGAGGGAGGAGCCTTCGAGTAGAGTAGGTTCACCTGGTGAGTTCGAGAGCCTCGCCTACTAAGAGATTTACAAGAGCTTTACGTCTCTTTAAGTCTGGATGTTTTTGGGGTTGAGAATTGATTCTGAGTGATGCCTTAGTTAACTAAATTTACTGTGGATTTAGAAGACAGGAATGCTTCCGTTTGATGACCCTTTTGATTACCAGCAGGCCTAAAGCCTCTGGTTCTAAGTCAGGTTTCTTTATCGCATAGAAGAGTTCGCGACGTGTATCTGGACTGTGGTCAGGCTGACAGTATGTTAGCATAGGAATTATTCTTTAAGTGAACTTGATGCCTTTTCAGGGATATACGTTAGGTCTCGCCAAGGTTAGGTTACACATATAGTGTAAATTAAAAATTGTGAACGCTTGTCAGCATTGCTTCAAGGACTGTCTCATAGGTTGAGGTATTGCGGGAAGAGGACGAGCCTAGGCAGTTTTTAAATCTGTGATCTTTACTCATATTATTACCTAAGTTATAACTACTGTGGTTACCAGAAATAATCCAGTCCTAAAATCGTTAGGTCATATTCTGTAATCAGTGATTTGAAGTGTCCCTCTTCTCTTGAATTCAGCTGTGGTTTGAAATTTCTTTGAGATAATTACATTTGGGAGCATTAGAAAGGTGAAATGTTAGTGAGTATAAAGGTTTGAAACTAAGAGTTAACAGAAAACCTGACCACTTGGCCTGTCTGCTTGTCCAAGCAGAAGTAAGTTCCTTTAAAAAAAAAACTCAAGCACTAGGAGGTTGAAACTGCAATGCATACTTTTACATTCCTGAGAGGATCAGTGAAGATACCAAACTTTCAAAATGCCTCTCTTGTTTTGATTTCAAAGCAAATACAAGCCCCTAAATGTTTTATTGATTTGATACAAAGATTTACTAGTTTGGTTGCTGCCATGAAGTCTCTGACCTCTGTGTTCATTAGCTTGACTGTATTCAGGAGTAGTTCAGAAGAGTTATTTCAGAGAGTAGCAGTGTTTTTACTTAAATTGATCACAGAGGTCTTGATTTTAAAACAAGAGCTATGATATGTACTTAGCACTGTGGGGAAAAAAGCTTTGCTTCCTATTACCTTACCTTTAATTTGACAGATGAGATATTTCACTTTAAAACCCATTACATTTCAGAAAGTTGACTGTGACTTGTTAGGTACAGAGAATGAAATATAGTACATTTTCCTTTTTTAAAATGGTATCTGATTATTGACAGTTTAGAAAGCTAGATTAAAAAATGAATATATGCACATGGTAGGAGAGTGCAAACTGTACAGAAGTATACAATAAAAAGTGTTCCCCATCCAGTCTTCCCAACCTCCAGAGGTAACTACTGTTGGCAGTGTATTTCCAGTTCTTCTGGAGGTTACCTTTATTACTTTAAAAGTTACACTTCTGTTTTGTGATTTATCACCTTCAAGTGATATTTATTGATTCCTTCGTCTGAAAGATGAGAAATTGGGTGCACATTCATTTTGCTTCCTCGCCACCTGATGCCTCTCAATTTTTGATTGTTAAACCATTTTTTTAGTTCTCTGGTTTACCTTTCTGACTTTAAATAATATAAATTCTTGATTTTTAAAATTTAGTTTCCAATAATTCCAGCTATGAAACATCAAGAAACTAGTGCTTCCTTTTTTTTTCCCACTTTTATTAGTTTGACAAATGTAAATAGACCTAGTTAATAAATTAAAATCACTGTGAGCGTCTCCTTTGGAAAGAAAACGAAACTTTAGAATATAGATATATTTTCTTGGCTTAGTCCTCCAATTATTTTTGGAAAGGGAGGGTAGGGACTTAATAAACCTATTAGTGCTTGACTGAAGTGTTTCTAAGACATCCAAGTTAACCTTTTTTTTGGTTTCTAAAAACCTATGAATTCTGCTAAGGAATGAATCAACCCTTTGCTCTTCAGTGCTTTCATCCAATGAAAACTTTCTAGTAGTGCCTTCATTGCAAGCTTCACTTAAAGACAACATCAACACTCTAAACTGTACCAATTTCTGTCCTCTGAAATTAGATCTGTTAAGATTGTATGTTTATTAACAATAGTCTCAACTGATGGTATGATGTACACAGTCAGCTGCTCATTACTACAGATGAAGCTAAAATGAGTCACCAATGAGGATAGTTAAACAGGTTGGCTAACTAGAATACCTGCCTGATTTTAAAGTAGAAAATTCTACCTTTACTATCAGGAAATATAAAGGACAGTCTACATTTGAAAAAGTTTTTTTTTTCCTTCAGATCAGCTGAATGGCCATTATCAGAGAGCTTTACCCTTATCCCCTTCTAACAATATTTCTTTCCAGTGAATATTGAAATCTTGGAATAATCAGGATTTTTTAGTGAATAAATTGCCCTCTCCTTTCCACAATGGGTTTAGTGTTCTCATTCTGTTAAATTTGTTCTTTGTGTAAATGTGATGTCTCCCGAGATATAACAGATTATTCAATTAGACTTCTAGTCTTTACGCAGGAGATTAATAGCACTGAGAATCTGATTTTATTGGAGACCACCTAAGGGTGCCTGTCTCCTGGCCTGTACTCCTCTTTCCTCACCAGGGGAGCTTGTCGATGAGTGGCCTGCTTTCCTTCAATCATTACCTAGTGGTGTTAGTTTGGAGGAGGAGAAACAGGTTTTGTGGGTTAGTGATAGATTGCCATTGTGTTGCTATCCTTATATGAAGTTACTTGATATTATGGGATAGAATTTAACAAGGAAATCTCTGAACTGCTCATTTCTTTACAGTCTATAAACGTATGGGAAATTTTCGTATGGGAAATTTTGCAAAAAAGCTTGTGAAAGTACTTCTTAATCCACTGCTGTTGAGCCGTTACGACAATCCAGAGGATTCTTTCTGTGCACGTGTACAAGTCGGAAGAGATGAACGCCTGGCGTATGTGGAAATGTATAGCTGGTTCAGTGATGAAGTATGCAGGGTTTTTATCACTGCAAACAAGTCTTGGCAAGACTTGTTTTTAAAAGTATTGCAAAATAATTTTAGCGATATACTTCAGTAATGGTTCTGAGGAAATAAAAATAATATATTCAGTTGAGAGTTGGGGTAATGTTATTGGTCCTGGAGCTTCTGGAGCAGGACACCTAACCACAGGGCAGCTGAGCTGTAGCTTTACCAGCCAGAGACAAAGGACATGGTGGCCTGGCGCCAAAACCAAAACAGCCCTCTCAGAAGTTCGGATTAGATAATACGGAGATAAATCGCTTGTTAGCAGTGAGGACTGAAGCTGAAGAGTTTAGGGAGAGGCAAGTGAGGCCAGGACCGCCCATGTGCAAACTGAAGGGCTGAGGGAACGGAGGAGAAAAAGGCAGCTCTTTCCTGAAAAAATTTTCCTAGATGGCTTTCAAGTACAGCCCCCAAACCTCTTTTTAAGGTAACTTGAGTGTCTTTTTTTAATGGTTGAAATGAGCTTAGTTAAAACATGAATTATAAAAATTCCAGTCTTACTTAGGATCTCACATTTTACCAAAGCGTGTTTAAATTCAGATTAATAAATGTTGTTGAACACCTACTATAAGCCAGGCACATATTGCTAGGGTAGGTGCAGAGGATGCTGAGCTGGAGATTACAAGGCTCTGCCTGTGAAGAACTAAGAGACTCGTTGGAGGAGAAACTTAGAAGAGTTAATAAAAGTGTGTGTGTGTGTGTGTGTGTGTGTGTGTGTAAGGTATGTGCAAGGGTGGCTATTGGGGAGGAGTTTGGGGTGAGGGAAGCCCTCCTATATGGTGAAATGTTTGAGGCTTTCAAAGGATAAGTAGGTTTGTCTGGTGGATTATAATGTTGGGTGGGAGGTCATTCCAAGCATTGCACAACTGCAGGGTATGTTTGGGGGATTAAGATCAGTTTAGTTGTCAGTCCCATAGTCACTCCTCACTAGGACGTAAAACGCAAAGTGGGCACTGATGAAAAGTGAGCTAAAAAGAAGGATCACAGGCACTAGATCATGAAGACGCCAGAATATTATAGTTCATGCTTCAGACTTTTTTACATAGGTGAAGATTTTAAGTAAGGAGGATGCATGATTAGATTAATTAGCGATGGGTGGAGATGAATTAGCAATGGATGAGACTAATCTGGAGACTTTGGAAGTAGTCCAGGTGAAAGATTCTGAGGAGTTGGAAAAGAGGGTATGGATTCAGTGACGATTTTAGGGTGTAGAATCAATATGAATTTGAGATGGGTTGCCTGTGGGGAAGAGGGAAGGGTTCTGACAACTCACAGACGTCTTATTTGGGGAGAGATCAGGGAATACAGAAGGAAGAGATTTACGAGAAAAGGTACTTACTTACCTGGAACAGGTAACCGAGTTTTGAGCTCAAGGTGCTTTGGGAACATCCAGGTGGAAATGCCCAGAATTAGCTGAACAGTTGCTCCCTGTGCGCCTGCTCTGTGTCCTCAGCACTTGTGCAGGCCAGCTAACCTGTGTGGGAATGTGGCCGAGAATGATGATAGAAACAAAAATGCCACCAGTGGCCAAATACAGATCTCAAAGACAAGGCACTAAAGGTGACTTTTAAAAATACAGAAATACATAAAAGAGATAGTTCCCTCTATAGCCTCTCACCCCTGCTTCTGGAGGGTAGCCGTAATAACCCCGTTAACAGTTTGGGATATTCTACAGCGTATCAATGTATCTTTAAGCATATGCACAGACACACCCTTTTATTTCTCCAGTAAATGTGTTTGTGTTTCTGTACA